GTGCGTGCGTGCGTGCGTGCGTGCGTGCGTGCGTGCGTGCGTGCGTGCGTGCGTGCGTGCGTGCGTGCGTGCGTGCGTGCGTGTGTGTGTGTGTGTGTGTGTGCGGGTGCGTGCGTGCGTGCGTGCGTGCGTGCGTGCGTGCGTGCGCGCGTGCGTGCGTGCGTGCGTGCGTGCGTGCGGGTGGGTGGGTGGGTGGGTGGGTGGGTGCGTGGTGTGTGTGTGTTCTGTACCGTGCGCCGGCAGCGCACCCATTTGCCACGCCCACGTTGCGGCAGGCCGATCTACGCCCAGGCACATCGCGGCTCTCCCGACATGCCGCAAGCGCTACGGCTAGTGCTGCGGTGGCGGTTGATCGGGCTGGGCGGCGAGCTGGCACAGTCACGAAGGTGGTGCGACGAAGCGGCGGGCCCCGTGACCCATCTGTTCTGCGACGCAGCCAGCCGCCCGCCCATGGCGGCCGCCGTACTGTTCGTTGACAACAAGTGCGACTGGACGTGCATGCCACCTGCCGCCCGGCACGGCTGCGCAGGTCAGCGTCAGTTTTGGTCGCGACGCGCGCGCACGCGTGCGCCGGGATCTTGAAGGCGTTCCAGCCCAGGGAAGATAATCAAATCATGGGCTTGGAAATGCTGAGCATTGCCCTGGGCTTGTGCTCGTTTGAACACCTGCTCCGCCGTCGGCGCGTCGTAATCTGGTCTGACAACACAGGCGCGCAGGCCGCCGCCGGCAGCGGCGCCGCGCGCGCGTTCGATCGCGCTTGTCTCGCACACGGCCTCCGGGTCAAGATTGCGCAATTGCGGTGTCTAGCACGTGTGGAGCGGGTGCCGACAGACGAAAATATCGCAGATGATCCGTCCAGGGGTGAGTTCGGGCTGCTGCGGCAGCTCGGCGCAGTGCGAATTGATCCGCACCTGGACGAGGCGTTCTGCACGCCAGCGTCATGGACGTCGATGCTCATCCCGACAAGGTGAGCCAGCGCTCGCAGCACGGCTACGCTGCGAGGCAGCCGAAACTCGGCGCCAGATTGGGCATCTCGCGGCGCGCGCCACGGTTGACGCGCGCCGCTCAGCAGGGGCTCACACCGCAAGGTCCACGCGACCTAGCCTGTATCATTATGTCTCACGACGATTTCGCCGCTCAGCTGAGCAATGTTCTGCCTAGAGCGTCACTTGCTGATATCGACGCGGTTTGCTCTTGCCTGCGGTTTAACGGGATGACGCGCTGGCAGCACCTCGAGGGCGCGCTGTTCGATGACTTTCTGGGTCGTGAACGCCTTTCTGTCACCGCAGCGACAGCAGTGCGAGAGCTGCTGGCACGCCCGCAAGGCGGCGTGCATCGCGGGCGCGCGGGTCGCGCGCGCGCGCCGCGCGTATTCTGAAGGACGACGGGCGAACGCCAGGCCCAACGGTGGCGAGGCGGCGCGGGCACGCCCGTCGAGTCAAGGCTCTGCGAGCTCGGCTTCTTCATCGTCCTCTTCCTCGAGCGTGCGGTTATGGGCACCCCGCGTGGTCCGTCGCAGACCGCTTTCTCCGCGCGTTGCACGCGCGCGACGTCTTCGCGCGCGGCCGCGCGCGCAGGGCATCCCAGGGCCGGCGCCGCCACCGGGGCCTCCACCCGCGATGCTTACGGCCCGTCGGCGGCGCAGCCGCAGCTCGGCAGCGGACCCAGTGGCAGCGGCGCGCCGTGCGCTACGTACGGCAACGGAAGGTTTCGAGCGTCAGATGGGCGATCCGCGCTGCGAGATCGCGAAGGCTGCCGCAGCCGTCACGTCGCCCGAGGCGGGGCGGGCGTGGGCCCAGGTTGCCCGCAACAGCGCCCTGCTCGGATCGTGCCCACGGTCACTACCGCAGGTTCGCAGCGGCTTCGAATGTTGGGTGAAGTTCGCGCGCGACGTTTTGCAGCGCAAAGGCAGCGAACTCCCGCCGTCGGTCGACGGTCTTTTGCTCTGGTCTACGACGTTCAGGTGTCGCGCGACGTTCTGCAATTACCTTTCGCATTTGAAGAAGGCATGCCACGTCGCGCGCGCGGCAGACGCAGCGTTCACGCACGCGTCGCTGGCCGGCGCCAAGCTGGCTATCGAGAAGCGTTCGGGTTGGTCGGCACGACCCCGCATGGCGGTCCGGATGCACGTGCTGGAACAGCTACTGGAACGCCCAGGCGCGTTACCAGAGGGATCCGGGCTGGGTCTCCTCTTCGTGACCGCGTACGCGTTTCTACTTCGCCTCCCGTCGGAAGCGCTGGTCATCCAACGGGCCGCCTCGCTCGACGACGCGTCGCATTTACGCGCGGGCCTTTTCATCAGCGAAGAGGCGGCCGTCTTATCGCTCGCCAGACGGAATAACCGGGAAAGACGGACAACTATTGTGCGCAATTGCTGGTGTCAGCGCTCACGCGCCACGTGCCCCGCACACGCTCTCGGCGCGCGGTTCAACTCGCAGTCCGTTGGAGAGGCCCCGTGGGCGGGCTGGTGCGCCACGGGTGTACGCAACGCGCTGCGGTCGGCACTGCGTCACACGGGAGTAGTTAACGCCGACGCCTACGGCGCCCACTCGTTCCGTCGGGGCCACGCCCAAGACATTGTGGAGTTCGGCGGCCGAGTCACCGACATCCTGAAGGCAGGTGACTAGCAGATGCCAGCTTGGATGCGCTATCTTGACGTTGAGAAGATGGAGCGCCAGGCCGTCGCCGAGGCGCATTTCGGCGCGTCGTCCAGCGACGACGAGGGCGGGGATTCGGTAACCCCCGGCGTCCAGCGACGTCATTCCACGCTTGGTCGGTGCAAGTAACGTCGCGCCAGGCCCCTTCGCACGCTCGTTCGCCCTCGTTCGGTCCATCGGTTGCTCTCTCGCGGGCCACGCGTCTGTGGCCGTCTCTCTGCCTGGCATTGGGTGGCAGCGTGCCTGCGGGTGCCGCAGGCCCGCTGCGTGGGGCAGCGCTCGGCCTCAGCCCCTGGGTCCGCGGCGGCGGGCATGGCACCCATGTGCTTCGGCCTGCGCCCTGGCGCGCCAGCCGCCTGTGTCGTTTGACGCGGTGGGCTGGCGTGTCGGCTGTTGGCGCACGGCCGCGGCCTCACCCAACGTTGTTTGGGTGCCGTATCCCCCCCTCTGGGTGGCATCGCGGTCGAACGTCGCCGCGAAGGAGACTTATGGGGCAGTAATAACTTGTTATTGCAAGTCATACGTCGACGCCCCCAGGCGGGAGTGTCCCGCCGTCGGCGCACCGCGCGATGGCGGGCGCCCGCATGTCCACCCGCCACGCGCCGCCGCTACGTCGGGCGGGCCAGGCCCCGCGCGGGCATGCTGGCGTGCCGCGCGGCCGTGCGTCGGGGCCCTTCCCCCCTCCGCTCCTCCGCGCGCAGTCGCGATGTCTCCTCTTTGCCGCCTGGCCGCGGGGCGGGATATCAAGTGCCCGGTCATGTCTGCAGCGCCCCACCTGCCTAGCGTGCACTCTTAAGGTGGGGCGGCTGGCCGGGGCGCGGTCCTCTGTCTGCCAGCGTGCGGCTCTGGACCAACCCTGGGGGCGACGCGCGGGGCGTCCGTTCGCCAGAGTGCGTCGGACGCGACCGCGGTCGCGCTTCTTTTCTCCCACCCACCACCCTCGAGGGGGGGCATGGTACCCATGTGCTTCGGCCTGCGCCCTGGCGCGCAAGCCGCCTGCGTCGTTTGACGCGGTGGGCTGGCGCGTCGGCTGTTGGCGCACGGCCGCGGCCTCACCCAACGTTGTTTGGGTGCCGTATTCCCCCCTCTGGGTGGCATCGCGGTCGAACGTCGCCGCGAAGGAGACCCATGCTTCCCCGGCTCATCATCATCATCATCATCATCATCATCTCGCCGCCTTCCACCTTGGTGCTGATGTTGCTTCTAACTTATCGCCCAGCGCCCCCCTCCTCCCTCACCCCCATCTTCGTCGTGCCTCAATCCTCGACTTTCGAACCTCGAACCTCCGAGGGCCGCCGATTGGCCTTCGCCAGCCGCAGAGGAGAAGAAGGAAGCAACCGGAGGCAGATGGCACGACGACGATGGCGCCGACGGCAGTTGTTTCCACTGCTACGGTAACAACTCGAGCATCAGTCGAGTGAATATGTTCGTTCGCACGGCCGCGCAGGAGTTCAAGGCGAGCGAGTAGACAGAGTAGGACTGGATGGGAGGATGCATGAGAGAGGTCGAGTGGAGGGAAGCCCCGGGGGTCTACAGTCTTGCTTGGCATCGGCGCTCGGCAAGCAGAACCCGATTGCTTGCTCGGCCAGCCGAAGCCGAAAAATCGAAAAGAAGAAGCCCGAATGAAATGCGCACTGCCTGGTAAATTCTGGACCTGGGCTCCGTGGAAGGCCCTTGAAACTGACGCCCGGAAAACGATCGCAGCTTTCTCTTCCGTTTGCCCTCTAACCACGATCAGGCCCCATGAATCTCAAAAGGATTCACTCCCCCGCGAGAACTGGCGCAAACAATTCGGGCTGGGCTATCAGCCCAAGGCGTCAGGGCGCCGTTCCGCCCAGGGGGGCCCCCTAGGTCTCCAGGGCGGCCTGCAGGGAGTTGCAGAGCTCGGTGTCCTCGATGTTTTTATCAATGAGCTTCTGCCTCGAACCCGTCGCGGCCTTCTTCTTCTCCTCCTCGCCCTTGAGCGGCTCGATGGTAGCCTTGATGATGTGAGCGGCGAAGGCTGTGGCGACGGTGAGTTTGCCTTCCATGGCAGTCTGTGCCGCGGCGGCCAAGATGGACGCGGGGGCGGATACCCCTTTGTTGTCCTGAAAGAATACAAGGCAGCTTTGCATACATAGGATGTTGAAACTTATGGGATTTTTAATGCATGCTTAATTTATGAATAAATTAATGCATCAACTCATCCTTTTATGTTTAATACATGGCCCGCACGCGGAGCACGCATTTAAAACGGCACTGTCCATGTGAATCTAGATCATGCTTCCCCTCCCCCTGTAAGGTCCCAGAGAGCGGAGTGGAGGCACGAGGACGAAGGAAGAGGCGATTTCGGAATTGGAGGATGGGGAGCATTGGGGGAGACTGGCGAGTTGAAGGATGAGGAATTGGAAGAAGAATGGAGCAGGAAGTTAGCGTTACGTGCTTCTGCGAGCGGCCCTTCGTCACGGCAGACGCAGCGTCCTTCATCTCCAGCAAGAGTTCACTGCCCTGGGCGAGCTTGATGTAAACAGCACTGCCGGTGAGCGTTGCGAGGACCTCAGGTTGTCGAGAAGGCTATCCGAATACATCTCCCATTGCAACGGGCGCCAAGTCTTGACGTTCGATTGGAGGTCCTGCAAGTTCGCAGTCCACACTTTCTGGACGTTCTTGAGGGCGGTCATGGCCTGGCCCTTGCACGCGCCCACGAAGTACAGGCCGTCGAAGATATTTGTTAAGCCCAGGCTGATGGACTTGTTACTCTTTTCGTCCTCTTCCTTCGCGTACAAGGTGCGCAAATTGAACTCTCCAGTGTCCGTGATGATCTCCAGGTCTGTGTGTTTGCAATAAACCTCGTCGTTCAAAGATCTGGAACTGCCGCGAAGAGCTTCGACAGCCTTGAACAGAGGAGAGTCCTTCTTCGGAACAAGCTCGTCAATTTTACTAGTCGCCCGTATGAGCTCAATTTCACGACGTCCGTCAAGACCTTCAAGCCATGATGGAGCACGTGGGTTTGGTGGCGAAGGTGACTGCCACCGAGGCAGGACGCGACGTTCGAGGCCCTCACCACCAGATCAGTGACGTCCAGGTCGATGTGAGGTTTGAGGTTCGGGACGTAGTCGACTGCGGTGCCGTGGTTCACATTGACGAAGGAGTACTTAGGCAAACCCTTGACCGCGTTCAGAGCGGCTTTGCTTGGCCTTGACCCTGGCCCTTGCCTGGGCCGCTCGGGCGTTCGCGGTCGCGCCCCGGCGACTGCCGACGCGCCTCCGAGCCGCGAGATGCCCGAAGGCCCGCGCCACATGTGCGGCTCCGCCCTCGGGCACGGAGGGCGGCGCGGGCGCGGGCGGGGGGCCAAAGTCGGCGCCGCGGAGAACAGCGAACCCCGCCAACAATGAGGCGGGCTCCATCTGGGAGCCGAAGATAATGGAGAGGAGAAGAAGGAGCAATAACATCCAGAAGAGCAACGCAACGCAAGAGCAACGCAACGCGCAATCATCCCCGTCCTTGCTCGTCATCGCCGTGCTCGTTTAGTCACTTGCTGTTGCTCGACTATCGGGCACGCTGGCCACATTGTGCCCACCCAACCCTTTGGAAGAAGACACGCGCAAGTTCAAGGTTCAAGAGAACCGAACCATTCGATATGAAATCATCTTTTGCATTTCCATCAGAAAAACCATTCAAAATCACAACGACTACTACTACTACTACTACTACTACTACTACCACCACTACTACTACTACTACTACTACTACTACTACTACTACTAATCATACTACTACTACTACTACTACTACTACTACTACTACTACTACTACTACTACTACTACTACTACTACTACTACTACTACTACTACTACTACTACTACTACTACTACTACTACTACTACTACTACTACTACTACTACTACTACTACTACTACTACTACTACGACTACTACTACTACTACTACTACTACTACTACTACTACTACTACTACTACTACTACTACTACTACTACTACTACTACTACTACTACTACTACTACTACTACTACTACTACTACTACTACTACTACTACTACTACTACTACACTACTACTACTACTACTACTACTACTACTACTACTACTACTACTACTACTACTACTACTACTACTACTACTACTACTACTACTACTACTACTACTACTACTACTACTACTACTACTACTACTACTACTACTACGACTACGACTACTACTACTACTACTACTACTACTACTACTACTACTACTACTACTACTACTACTACTACTACGACTACTACTACTACTACTACTACTACTACTACGATTACTACTACTACTACTACTACTACTACTACTACTACTACTACCTCTAAGACCACTACTACGACGACTACTGTGCTACGATTATTACTACTACTACTACTACTACTACTACTACAACTACTACTACTACTACCACCACCACCACCACCACCACTACTATTACTACTTCTTCTACTTCTTCTACAACTACTACTACTACTACTACTACTACTACTACTACTACTACTACGACTACCTCTACTACTAAGAACGACGATATCCAAATGCGCTATCTGGCGCAGGTCGGTTTGTTCCTTTAATACAAACGTATCGTTGCTTGTTGGACCAGACAAATCCGTTACTGCGACTTGCATTCGTATTTGTGATATTAATTATTCGTATAATCATGAAGCCCCTCGCCGAAGAATGTAATTCATAGAACTGTAATGACGTAATTAGTTAAACAAGTATACAAGTATCTACCGAATGACATAATTATGTATACACTTATGTAATTTTATACATTGAGTATGTAAGTCTGTAATTACTTATATAAGTCTGCCATTTAAGGAACTACCATTATGTAACGATTCCTACAAGAATGTACATAATTGTATAGTTACATATGTTGGAAATTAGTATGTAATTGTATACACTGACCAAACACTTATGTAAGTATTGATATATATATATATGAAATTATATGTATAGATGGTACATTCTCGGAATGAATATATGTATGTTATCTTGCGCCATCTACAAGGCCTCAGATAGTGCTCTTCCGAAGATGACAAGCTATAGGCAAACCAGGACGCCTCGCCACCGCTTGACCCAGGGCCTGTGTTTCGTCCTGACTCGTTTCTCGACGCGCTCGAGGCCCGGCAAGGGCCCCCAGAGACCGACAAAGGCCAACAACCGCCCGCTGGGTAGCCACACCCTCTGTAGTCGCCGAGGAAGACACCGTCAGCACACAGCCGGTGCACAGCGCGTGCGGTGTGCCAGGGGGCTGCGCGGCCAGGGTGTGCGGGTGCCTCTCTGGTGGGGCGGCAGAGAGCGTCGGCCTCTGGGCTGGGGCGCGGCAGGGAGAGCGCGCGCTCGGCGCCCAAGAAATCAGACTGCACGATGAGACCAAGGAGCTCTCAAGCTGCGACTGCGTAATATTTACGCCTGGCTCTCGGGCGTGTCTTGCAACCTCTAGGTTCGGGTCTCGGTGGCTACGGTTCGTAACACATTCACGCAATGCTGCAATCATGCATACCTGCACACCAGCAGCAACTTACGCAAAGCATGTGCAATTACGAGCTGCAGTGGCAATGATGTCCGGCTCAAATGTGATATATATATATATATGTGTGTATAAACAAAAAAACAAAAAACACGGCATAAGCACAAACCTTGAAGGTCCGTGCGGATTTTTTGGAGCGGCGCTAAAATGCGCCCTCGATGGCACGTAAAACGCGCCAGGGGCGGCGCCGGAGGCACCGCCAGGGCGGCCTGGCGCCGATCCAAGAAATCAGCGCGGGCCGTCAAAAGTTATGCTTATGCAGTGTGTTCTTCTTCGGTGCAGTTCGCTTGATGGACAAAATCCTGCGCCACCCGCACGACCAGTGTGCCAGCGCAAACTTCACCCTGCCCCCGAGTCAACGCATCCTCCCCATTCAAGCAAAGAAACCCCACACTACACATCCTCAACCGCCGTGCGATTCAAAGAGTCGCCAGGTAAACCAGGAGCAACCCACGAGCTTACCTGCGATAGGCCCCCGATTCAACGTTGGTGGCATCGCAAGCGGGACGCAGTTCGGACAGCCGACAGATCCACACATCGTGGCGCAGCCCGCCACTGATGAATTGGGGGCGCAGGGGGTGTTCACAAACATCAGCAGAAAGGGTGCAGAATTTGTGCATCAACCGTTCCCTGGGCTCTTCGGCCTCAGGCGCTTGACAGCTGCACTTAGCACTAGTTTGACTCACTTTGGTTCGCCATCTCCTCCTCTTCCTCCTCCTCCTCCTCCGCCTCCACTTCGACCCAAAGAAGGCCTGTCTAAAACTTCCAAGACGCCTCCTAGAAAAACAAAAAGAGGCCTCCCGCTCCTCCACCTCCTCCTCCTTAAAGAGGCCCCAGGAGGCCGATAACGGCGGAGAAAATCAGGAGCCCTGGAATTCTCCGAGGAGGCAAAGAGCCGATACCGCTACTCCCCGAACCTCTCCTGGGGCGCGTCCTCGCCCGGACTTTAAGGCGACCCCAGCCGCGGCGACGAGGGCTCTCCAGGAAGAGCAACCCGTCTGCATCGACAGTGACGGAAACATGATCATGAACTCTGGAGGTCCGCGCGGACTTCTTGGGTCGGTGTTGGAGCTCCTGCTCCTCCTCCGCCTCCTCCTCCTCCTCCTTCTCCTCCTCCTCCTCCTCCTTCCAATCCTTCCCCTCCTCCCTCTCCCCCCCCTCCTCCTCCTCCTCCTCCTCCTCCTCCTCCTCCTCTCCTCCTCCTCCTCCTCCTCCTCCTCCTCCTCCTCCTCCTCCTCCTCCTCCTCCTCCTCCTCCTCCTCCTTCCCCTCCTCCCCCTCCTCCCCCTCCTCCTCCTCCTGCTCCCCCCCCCCCCTGGCGCGCGGAGCAAGCCAGGGGCGGCGCCGGAGGCGCCGCCGGGGAGCTCCGGCGCCGACCCGAGAGAAACCGGCGCGGACCTCCAAGGGCCGATGCCTCGTGCCGTGCGCCGTGCCTCGAGGCATCCGCTCCTCCGCTAGAGGCGGCCTCCCGGATGGGGTCGGAGCAGATTGAAGGGGCCCCAGGACACACAAATAGATACACACAAGAATAAAAAGATGCCCCATAGTTTCCCATATGTTCTGTGTTTTTGTCTTTCCCGCCACTTCCCACATTTTCCCATATCTTCCTGGGACTCGACGACTAAGTGTGTCTGTGTGTATTTTTCCCTCCTGATAGATGGGGTCGGAAGATCGCACCGCATCGCCGATACATCGGCGATGCATCGGCGATGCATCGGCGATGCATCGGCGATACATCGGCGACGCACCAGCGATGCACCGGCGACGTCGGTGATGCATCGGCGACGTCGACGTGAAGCGAATCGGGCTGCACATCGAGCCGCATCGGCAATGCATCATCGATGCGGCGCGATCCTCCGACCCCATCTGCTCCGACCCCATCCAGGAGGCCTAGATCCGCTGGTGCTCTTTCCGCGGCGCTACGCCAGGGAGCCCCAGCCGCGCGCAGAGGGGAGGCCGTCGCCCCAGCCGCCAGGATGCCACGCCACCCCCGCGGCCTCGCCGCACGGCCGCAGCTGCAGCCTGTGCACCTCCTGCCAGAGGTGGCCGGCCTCCTCCTCGCAGGCAGCGGCCGCCCGCCAGGTCTCGGTGGCGACCCACCTTGGCGGCGCGCAGCCTCGTACCTCCGACGGCCTGAGGACAGGACATGCTTCGCGAGCGATCTCCGCCAGAGAACGCGAGGCGGGACACCCAGGGAGCACCATCACGCTCTGGGCCCGGCGGCCGCGGCATGCAGTCGTCATCCATCGGAGGCTCGAGGCGGCACAGCCAGGGAGCACCGGCAGACGTTGGGCCTGCCGGCGGGGGTATGCAGGGTGTGCGAGGCTGGTCGGGAGCTCTCTCCCTCTCTCTCTCGTTCGCCAACCTGTCGGCTTGGGAACAACACAAAACTCTTTCGCAATTTTCGACATCTGAATGGGGGGGAGCACATTCGGGAGCAATGGGACCGTCAAATACCGACCGAGGTCCGAGGACGAAAGCTGGGTCTCCTGGGGGGCATGTATTGATACAGCCAAGCCGCTGGATAACATTGGGTCCGCAGATGGGGTAGAAGGATCGCGCAGCATCGCCGATGCACCAGCGATGCGGCGATGTGGAGCCCGATGCTCTCCACGCCGACGGAGCCGATGCAACCCCAAAGCCACCGATGCATCAGCGATGTGCCGGCGAAGCATCGGCGACCCGGCGCGATCCTCCAACGCCATCAACTCTGAGTTGATGGCGTTGGAGGATCGCGCCGACTCGGACTCCGTTTCGGAGGCCTCCATGTTAGAGGATCGCGCCGACTCGGACTCCATGTCTGGAGGCCTCCAGAAAAATGGAGTCTGGGCTGATTCAGCGCAGACTCCCTCTCGGAGGCCTCCAGCCTCGGAGGTCCGCGAGACTCGACGGCACCCCGGCCCGAGAGGGGCCCCCCGGAGGCCGGACATGGCGACGGGCAGCCGCCCCGAGCTCGCGCAGGGGGAGGGAATGGGGGAGGAGGAGGAGGAGGAGGAGGAGGAGGAGGAGGAGGAGGAGGAGGAGGAGGAGGAAGGAGGGAGGAGGAGGAGGAGGAGAAGGAGGAAGGAGGAGGAAGGAGGAGGAGGAAGGAGGAGGAGGAAGAAGGAAGAAGGAGAAGGGAGGAGGCGAAATGGGCGGTCCGAGCCCGCGCGCCGCCCGCCACCTCTGCCAGCAGCAGCGGCAGAACCACTGCCCCGAGCACTCGCCCGCGGCCTCCGCCGGGGGGGGGGGCGGGGGAGGTCTGCGCCGGAGGAGGGCCGACAGGCCTGGCCTCAAGTCGGGCCAGTCCCCCATACAAGGGGGATTTTCGACGAAAGTTAGAAAATACCCCCAAGAAATAATAGAAAAATAGTTCAAAGATAGTCTGGGGACTTCTTTTTTTGTATGTTTGACCTTTTTGGGGCATTTTGGGGTATTTTCTATTTCTCGTAGAAAAAATCCCCCTGTAGGGAGACAGGGGGAGGCGAGCGAGGCAGAGCTGGCACGCGACGTCCACTCGAGGGAGGCGGCCCCGAGGGGGGGCACGGGACGTGCTGCTGTGCGGTGCGGGCCCTCATCCCCCTCTCTGACCAGCGGCCGCTCGGCATGGGGCCCAAGCAGGCAGATGGAGCCAGAGGACAGTGCCGCACCGCCGAAGCAGAAGCCTCTGCGACGCAGGGATGGAGATGTTTGTGTTGCGCCTCTCTCGGGACAGCAGTGGAGGTGGCGCGGACAACACTTCACCGACCAGGGCACGGATGCAAACGGTGCAGCAACTGGGTGGTCAAGACTTGGAGAGAAGACTGGAGGGCAAGGTGAGGAGAACTGTTGAAGGGAAGGCACCGTGGTTGTGCCATGGAGCTGCTGCAAAACGGAAGCAGGGATGGAGAACATTGGGCTCCGTACTGGCGCGGTGCTCTCGGACACCACCTGCTGGGACCCGCTCGGGCGGCCTGGACTGAGGTCTGGCCGTGCTCCACCTCTTGGCGGCGCACGCGGAGGGGTGGCCCGAGGGTCTCTTGGAAGCCGGGGGGGGGGGCCTCTGGGAAGCGACATGCCTTCTCAGAAGGGTGCGCCCCTGGCGCCACCCCCTGCATGCGCGCTGCAAAGTCGAAGTAAGACGAGGCCAGGCCTGGGACGGAATCGGTCCAAGACAGGTTGGGAATCTCTGAGATCCGACGGCTCAGGAGAACGTAACAGGCGCCGCGGCCGTTCTAGCTCCAAGGCGCCCCTGAACGCTCGAAGAGCTTTCCAGAACGCTCTTGGACAACTCATCACAGCCATGGCCTATCGGCGACGAATGCGAGAGTT